GCCCCTGGTGCATACATTGGCTCTGCCAACTGTATTTGAAACTGCTGTCATTTTATTGTTTTTTGTTTTGCCAGTATATCACAGAATCATAGAATGGCTTGGGTTGGAAGGGACCCTAAGGATCACCAAGTTCCAACCCCACTGCCACAGTCAGGGCCACCAACCTCCAGATCTGATACTAACTAGACCAGTTTGCATAGGGCCTCATCCAACCTGGTTTTCAACACCTCCAGGGACAGAGCATCCACAGCCTCTCTGGGCAGCCTGTTCCAGCACCTCACCACTCTCTCTGTAAAGAACACTGATTTAAGTTTTCCTTTGCCTTCTCACTGGAGAACATAAACCATACAAAGTGATAGTTTTAAGTAAAAACAAAGCCAGAAGCTAGTTCTGAGAGAAAAAATATATATACATGTGAAGAGTTGGGTAATTAAATCGGTGGTAGTTGGAATCACAGTTTAATTATAAATTGAAAATATATGTTCAGAGCTGTTCAAATCAAGGGATTTGTGCTGTTAGGAGACATTAAGCTGGCCTTCTTAAATTCTGCTTTTTTTTTTTTTTTACTTTTCTTACGAATGTACATTCCTTTATAGGAATGGATTAAAAACGTCTTCATGTCCTTATGAAGAGAATACCACAATGTAAATTGTAAATGTACAGTTGTAAGGCAGCAGTTGGAGTGAAATAATAATGCAGTGTGGGATTCAAGCAACAATAAAATGGTTAAAACAAATAATCTGGTATCTGATAGAACATTTAGAAAAAGTAATAATCTTTAAGCAATTAATAAAAGCTTAAATAAAAGGAAAGAAGTTGCTTGCAATGCGTTTATAAAGCTACTAGTGCTTTGAACTTGGTATCATCCTTCCATGACTTAGTTTCCTGCTTAGATTCAGGCTCATCCTTAAACCATAACATTAACATAATGGGTCTTATCCCTTTGAGGTCAGTTATGTCACAGGAAAAAATGATATAAATAAAACCTAAGGATCTGCATCAGTATTCTTGATTTTGTTCTGCCTCCATAGCAGGCAAAAGCCTGTAACAGCCATTGTAGCCAAGAACACATGAAACACAGAGGCTTGAATGTCAGTAGAAAGAGGGAATTAATAAGCCTTTAGCTGTCATTTTATCAGTCAGCAGATGTCCTCAATCCTGAGTTTTGGCTTCTGATTAAAGGCAATTGTTCATGCCTATGGATCATTTGCTTTTAACACTCATGTTTAATTGTTGCTGTTTTTTTCTATGTTTTCTTCTTTCTGTTTTTTTTCTATATTTTTGCTTGTATGTGTAGATATTTCCTGTATATCTGTGTGTTTTTCAAGTAATAATTGGGAGAAGGGAAATGAAAGTTTTTGATTAATTGTTTAGAATATTGAATGTAAGGGTTTCTGTCCTATAGAGGATGTATAATTTAATACTAAAGCATCCTATACAAAACAGCAGAAACCTTTAAAGTGCAGATTTTTTATTTCACATGGCAAGTTCAAGTTACAAATCAGAAAGAGAAAATGTATTTATCTTGTAAGTTTTCATATGCAGTTTGCCAGTGAGCCCAGTGGGTATGATGCTTAACTTGTAGTAATTTTGAAGTTCCCATGTACGTTTGCATCTACATGTAAAAATCAACAAATGTATGGTTGTTTCTGTGGGTGTGATGAAAACTATTTCTTAACTTAATATTCATTAAAATAGGTATTTTTAAAACTTTTTTTAATTTATGGAATGGTTATTTTTCTATAGCCTTTGTCTCTAGTGCAGGAATTTAGCATAACTCAAGACTTTTTCAAATCTCTTCAGATCTTTGATGAAAATGGGTTATTTTATAAAGGTCTGCCTGCAGAACAGAAAAAAACTTAAGTAGAATCACAGAATCACCAAGATTGGAAAAGACCTACAAGATTACCCAGTCCAACCATCTGCCTATCACCAATAGTTCTTACTAAACCATGTCCCTCAACACAATGTTCTTGAACTCCTCCAGAGTTGGTGACTCCACTACCTCCCTGGGCAGCCACTTTTTCAGAGAAGCAGTATTTCCATGTATTTCCTAATGTCAAGCCTGAACCTCCCCTGGCACAACTTGAGGCCATTCCCTGTAGTCCTTTCACTAGTTACACAAGAGAAGAGGCTGACCGCCAGCTCACCACAACCTCACTTCAGGTAGTTATAGAGAACAATAAGGTCTCCCCTGAGCCTTCTTGTTTTCCAGACTGAACAATCCCAGTTCCCTCAGCCACTCCTTATAAGACCTGTGCTCCAGACCCCTCACTAGCTTCACTGCCCTTCTCTGAACATGCTTGAGGACCTCAATGTCTTGCAGTGAGGGAACCAAAATGGAACACAGTACTCGAGGTATGGCCTCACCAGTGCTGAGTACAGAGGGACAATTGCTTCCCTATTACTGCTAGCAACACTATTTCTGGTACAAGCCAGGATGCCATTTGCCTTCTGGGCCACCTAGGCAAGAAATAGGAAATACCAGAAATATATCCAGAAATATCCAAAAGGAAAGATGTTTGTTTATTTATTTATTTATTTTATTATTTTCCGTGCGTCTTCATTATTTCCATTTTTTCCTCAAATTATTTTTTCTTCCAATTGCTTCTGCAATGTGAGTTTCTAAAAAGACAGCAAACTGTTAATCTCTTTCAATATAATTCAGTATCGCACACATTTTGCATTTCTGAACTGATTGTTGCTGAAGTCCATCTTGCCAACTGTGACATGATTTTTAAGTCATTTCCCTTCTTTGCTAGTGATTTGTGTAATCATCTTATGAGATCCAGTGGAAGTCTGGACTAAGAAAAGATTGGAAACTGGATTGGACAAATCTGAAAATTAGGCTATGGAAAGTACTCTGTTGGGAAGAGAATGTGTCAGTAGCCAACCAGTAACAATAATAAATGTATGGATGTATGCTCATATACTTTTAATAATTTTTTTACAAACATCCTTAGTTCAAAGTGTTTATAAGAGAGATAAATGGAGAAAAAGAGGGTACAGGTAAACAGTTCATCATTAGGCAACTATATAAATCATGCACGAATAGAGCAAAATGGAATGGACTTCTGGGAGAAACAGGCATTTGAAAAATATGATTTCAAGAAGAAGAGAAAAAATCCTTGCTAGGCAAGAAAAGGGGAACTTTCCCATCTTAAGCGTGGGATTACAAATTAGGAAGGATAAGAATGGGAAAAGATTTGTAGAAGAATCTGAGAAGGCTGAAAGAAGCAGAGAAAACCATAAAGCAGTTCAGCTGTTGGAAGAAAGTTATCGTCTGTCAAACATTATCATGCAGCGTTATGTAAAATCAATTGTCTGCAACAGTTAGAAATTCCTATAGAAGTATACAATCAATGCAGATATTTTCAAAAATATATGTATATATGAAAAATTTGCAATAATTACATAGGATCTTGAGGGTGAGAAAGAGAACTTTATTTTAGGCAGTGATTTTTTATCTGATACTCATCTATGACCTCACCGGGACTGTGGTCATAGAGAATGAGAAGAATAAAAACTTAGTAATAACAAATCACTCTGAGCTAAACTTGCATATTCAAATATATGCATATCCTTCTGTGGGGGGATGGAGATGGGTGGAAAGGATAAGGATATCTTGGGTTTCATTAAATGGGAAGAAAGTAATATTTAGTGAGAGATAAGCAAGTAACAGAAAATTCTTACAGTATGCTTAAATCTTGACTGCCTTTTAAAGGGTTCAGTGATGAAGTTATGTTGATGTTGCATTTTCCACATGTACCTTCTCTGAATGGAAATAGAACCTTTTCCAGCAAGAAGTTTTTAGAACATCATTTAAATCAGCTCCCTAGGTAGGAGAAGTTAAACCATTGAAATACTCGTACTGTTACAAATGTGTCCAAAATAGGGTTTTTGCTTTTTTTATTTATGCGCTTGCAAGTATAAAGGCTTTTCCTTTGTATTCCTAACACAGCCATGCCAGCAGGAGCTGTGAGCGTAGGCCATGCCTCATTGCCTTTGAGTGAAGCCATGGTGCTGATGGAGATTTCCTGACAACTGTCTCCGAATTCATTTACATCTTTTTAATAGCAGTCATTAAGGGTGAGAGGTAGCTGTTTGCACTTGCATCAGCAGAAAAACAGGTTGATAAAAATTTTAGTTCCTCCTATATTCTGCTTTTAATTCCTTTTAAGGAATTTTCTCTGTTCACAAGCAGATGCTTCAATTTATGGTAAGCAGAATAAAGCCCAGATTGCTTTCACAGTCTGCACTTTTATCCCTTGCCAAACTAGTAGTGCACAAGAGTGATAAGCGTGCTTGAGTTTCATCACCAGGCAGGTAATGACGGCCTGAACAGATCAGAAAGGTGCATGTCGTGTAGCAAGATGTATTGTTTCTTACTGGCTGGTACAGATGTAAAAAATGTTTAAACTGATTACAGAATTCTGGCAAATCTCTCTGCTGCCTGTGTAGTTGATTTGTGTATCACACTTATGGGTGACAAGTACATATATGTGATCATGTCTGGGACAGGCAAAACTAAAATGATCTGTGGCATTTGCAGAGCCTATCCTTCAGGGAATCAGGGAAACACTCAGAGCTGAGTTCAAACCTGGTATGTGAATCAGAATGCAGCTTTGGGCAGCTCCAAGGTTCTGATGTAAGAGCTTCTTTTAACAGACCTCTTGGGTTACACTAAGAGGCTGGTAGTATCTGGCAGACAGTGCTGCCCTTTTCATCTTGTTTTTTGTTTCTAGTCCTTTGGGGAAATGGCTAAAATATACAGAATATAACCTTTCTACGTGTTCTTGGTAGCATGCTCTGAAATGTGGAGGGATTATTTGATAGATGGTTTTCAGCATTCTGTTGCCCACAGAACCATGACTTATCTTTCTAATCTTCTAAATCCAACATAATCTGTATATTCTATCCTCTCTCTGTGTATGTATCTTATAGCTGAAACTGCACTGGCAGGGAGTTCTAAAGTGGCTGTATTTGTTTCTTTCCGACAGCTGGCTGTCCAGACTCCTTGATTAAAGAGGTTCATCACTTCAGGATTCTGGGAGAAGAACAGGTGAGTAAGAATCTCAAAGTTAACATCTTAATGTCATGAAAGATAGACACTAATGAGACAGTTTTGCCTTTCTCCAGAGAAGCAGTGTGTGTCTCCTGACCCCCAGTGACCTGAAATATGGGGGAAAATGCACACTGGAGATACACATGCAATTTTTTTTTTTTTAATTCTATCCATCAGCCTTGGCAGGTTATTAATTGGTACATCTGCTATATGCCATAGCTTTTCAGCTTTAGACTACAGCAGTAAACAGGCTCTCTAAAACAGCAAATAGACAATCTGACTAAGGGACTGACATTTACAGCTGTTTTGTATTATCCATCTCTTATTTTTAGCCTATGGTCTCTTTTAAAAGAATGTTTCTTATTCATAATTACAGCTGTGCTTTGCACTGACAAAGCTGTTTCCATACAGGGACCTCACAAAAGCATGGGAGGTATGCTTTACCACACTCACAAGATGGTCATAGTTAATGTTTTGTTAGCAGTGAAATCGATGTACGGAGATATTGAGAAAATAGCCTTAAACATTGAGAGGCAAGTTAAATTGTCAGATACTCACTGCTTCTGAAATTCAAGTTGTCAGTCTCAAGTATCTTTCCTACTGTACTGTTATGAAACCCAACTGCCTACCATAGAGTTGCTATATGTACTTAGGGACCAGGTGCCTGAAAGCTCAGCATTGGTGTGTTGTACCTCAGAATATCTGCTTCCATTAAGGAACATAGCCCCAAGAGTCTTGCAGAAGGTTATATGAAATCTATGACAAAGGCAGGAACATGTCCTGAAATGTTAATTCAAAGTCTGATAACTTAGCTGTTAGATCAGATTATATTGTCTAGAACACCCTGTTCCTTCACCTTTCCTTTTCACTATCCTACAGGCATATTTTTCTTACAGTTAGGACTGCTGGTACATTTTCCAGACTTTCAATTTTCTTCCACCAGTCCCTCACTTCAGATGTTATAGAAAATCAAGCATGTAAGTCCTCAGGGTCTAAGTTTCTTCTTAGAAAGAAGAAAGCAGTAAGAGCAGTGTGGCAGGATTTGTCTGACAAAAATGGAAAAAAAGACAGAAAACAGGGTAGGCCAGAAGAGAGACTAGAAACAAAAGTCTAGTGAGACTGAAAGTTCAGAAAGAAGAAATAAAAGAAATAAGGACTGGGATTGATGGGGCTGAGAGACTGCTGAGAACCAGCTGACAAATGGAGAGCAGAGCAAGATGAAGCTTGAGGATACTGGAGGGATGGAGCTGGCTAGTCAAAGACTGAGTGGCAGGGATTAGGATCTGACAAGGAACTGGGACCAAGAACTGGAAGGGACCAAGTACAGAAACTTGCTGGAAGAGACTAATAAATAAAGGAAATATATAAATCTGTATGTAATGAGCTGCCAAGTGGTGAAGATAAGTGGGCTAGGAGGAAAGTCTTGAAGAGTGTGGAGAATTTTAATGAATAAAGTTTTGCTAATCAAGCAAATACTATATTTTTGCCACGCAGAATATTTGAGATAATTTTATTGATTTTCGTAATGAAATTGCTCCTATTTGTTGTGTCTACACTTGAACAGATGAAAAACTTTTGTTAGCAAGCATTATGAGTGTAAAAATATGCAGCTAGGAAGTTGTTCTACAAAACGGATCAGACCTGTAAAGATTTGTCTTTCTCTTAAACTGGCTGCTAACAGGTTATTCAGGTACAATGATTATCATTACAGTCTTAATAAATGCTTTTTGAGGTAGTGAACATTGCTATGCTACTTGAATTATTCCCTAAACCCACAAAGGCGTGAAGAATATTGCAATTATGTCGTGTCTCTATAAAAGCTTTGTTGTCTTGAATTTAGTGGTGACCACAGTAGCTCTTGTTTGAAATCAGCATGCTCCTTGATAGTTAAGGAATAATAGGTGCAAAAGCAATCTTTAAAGGGAAAAAAAAAAAAAAAAAAAAAAAGCCTAAAATGCATCTAAATGAAGAGAGGAAGGAATTTCAGGAAAAAAAAAAATCTAATAACCTTTTTGTTATGTATTTACTTTTTTAAAGGAGTTCTTTTCTGTTTTCGTGCATACTAGATAGAAAATTCGTAATTAATTATAACACTGTTTTATTCAGACTAATTAGAATTTCAGCATTATCAATCAACAAATCTTTTCTTCAAATCCAAGCAACAGTCAAGGAGTAACAGAGGCAGGTTACTGCTACATGTCGAAACTTGATTTATTTTTAAAATGCTTATGTATTTAAGACCAGATTATAAAAGCAGAATGGACTATTGTGATAATCTTTTCTGATCTCCTTTAGAATCCACATTACATGAATTTCTTGGATTAATTCTTGTTTAAATGGGAGTACATTGCTGAGAAAAACATCCATTATTTGTTTACAAATCTCTTTAAAACATTAAATCCTATTATACCTTTCAGCAATGAAAGATAAAAATTGCCTGTCTCTTTTCTTTCCACTACTCTACCAGCACCAGCACCTTTCCTACTTTGCATAACTGCCATTCCTCGGTGTCCAGATACTTTATATTTTCAGTTCACTTTCTTCTATCAAAAGGCAATAAATGATAATACAAAAAAAAAAAAAAAAAAGAAACCAACACTCAAATGTATGAATGTGATTCAGAAGGAGCTATCATACCCCTAAAACAGATCTAAACAATTTGCTTTCACAGCAAAAGGCAGCCAGACTGACAAATATTTCAGACAGAATGAAGGAACTTTTTAGTTTTACATGGGTATTTCCAGTGTAGCTACTTGCTGGTTCCAGTTAAAGTAGTGGCTGCCCAGTAAGGAACATAATTTCCCTACTAGAGATTTCTAGTTATTCATCAAAGATTTCCCTTAGTGCTTTTGGACATGTGTGGACACAGCTCAGATTTAGATCACAAGAAATAACACTGCTTCCCAGACAGAAATCCCAATGTGAGATTGTGCCCTATGCTGGTTCTCCATAGAAAAATTTAGCTGAAAAGTAAAATGTTTGATTAAACTCACCTGACCAAGAGCTCTGACAGCCCTGTAGCATGGATTCACTCGTTCATTACTCCTCTTCTCAAATTATTGCAAACTTTTTCACTGCTGTTCTGTATGCCTTGGTTTTCTTCCAAGTCATTGATAAAAATTTTAGATGGCATAAGTCCAGGAATCAATACCTTCAGGATCTTTTTGGAAATATATCTGCCTAATGATGATTACCTATTTACAATTATATTTCAGACCTGCCAGATAGCTAAATTTTAATCCTCTTAATATATGGCAAATTAATTTTGCATTACTCTAGATACTTAATCAAAATGCCATGCAGCACCAAGACGAATGTCTTAAAGAAGCCTGCTTCATCAACTCTCTTATCAACAAAATTTCAGTCAAAATCAATAATCTGTTTCTAATAGAAAACAATGATCTCTACTATTTCTTCACTGCATATTTTTTTTCCAGTAAATAGTGAGTTTATATATATTTTTATTAATGTCAACGAGAGGTAAAGGTGTTTAGCCACTTTAATGATCAGTCCACTGGGAAATGTGCCTACCTACCTACCTATCTGTCTATCCAAATAAACTGTTTCTTTATCTAAACATAAGCGCTGAATGAAAATGCTCTGAAATAAATGATTTATATCTTAATTGAAGTGTGAGGAGTTACTGATTAATGTTTGCTAAAAGTTCTGCAATAATATATATTTTTTCCAAATAGTCATTAGTCTCTGACATGTAAATCTCCCACGTCTCCTATTCCCTCAGGAAAATGTGTGGTATAGGAAATTCATTCTTGCTAGAAACTCTGTCTTTTAAGATTTAATTGGATACATCCGGGTAGATTTTAAACAGGGAATTGTTTGTAGATTTCATGGAAAGAGTCTATATGGTGAAATAGAAGAGTATAACCTCCTCTAGTACATTATATGCATTGTGGATATCTAACTTACCAGATATAACTGGCTTCCAGAGTAGTTGATTTAAAATGCAACACAAATACATTTAGCAACAGATTGCTACCCCATTCAGTAATGGACACTTTGAGAAGGTGCCAGAGAGTATGACCTAGAAACGTCTCCAAAGATATGCCTCTTCTAGAGCTTCAGAAAATAAAAAGGCTTATTCATGTTTTGGATCATTATTCTTTTTCTGGTTGCTGGTTTCCTGATACATTACATGAATGGAAGAGATGCAAGAAAATGTTCAGAAAGCAGCTTTGACTGAGTTGTTTTGGATCTCCGTTTCACAGACAGTCCCAGTATACAAAAGCTTGCACAAGGCATAGAGAGTCTCCTGGATGTGCAGTCCCATGAAGGGTAAAACCTGAAGCCATCTAACTGGCCTTAGTTCTGTTGAGCTTTTTCTTGCAGTTCAGTGTCACTATCCATAATCCATCATTTTCCCCTAGCATAATGGATGCAGTCCAACCTGCTGTCTAACCACTTCATTTCATAGGTACCTTGAGAGATATTCAGGAACGGGATGAAAGATTTATTAACTGGTGAGCTATTGAGAAAGAGCACAATATAAGAAAGTTACAGTCTCCTGCAGCGACCATTTGCCCTGTCAGGCTGGCTGTCTCCAAGTAAACATAAATGATTCTACAAGTCATGATCATACAAGCTGCTTACAAATATATGTTAAAGATGCAGTAAATATGGGCTGTGTCCAAATACAGTGTAAGGCTGGTAATTCAAAAAGCCAGTGCCAGAAACAGCAGAGAACGCTTTAATTCAAACCTCAACACTATGATATACAAACATAGCAAGATGACTTGCAGTGAACTGTTAGAGAGTGTCTCTAATGACTCTCTGAGAAATTTCCCTCTTCTCCCCGAAGTGATAAAAAAATCTTGTTTAATTGTTTAAATGGAATATTGTGATTCATGAATAAAATAGCAGCTACATCTGAAGGCTGGAAGGGAAAACAAATAATGCAAGAGCAGTCTGCTGCTATACCTGAGTGCCCCCAACAGGTCACAGAACAGATGAAGCTGATCACATCCTAGTGGCAGGAAAAG